GTTAGTTAGTTAGTTAGTTAGTTAGTTAGTTAGTTAGTTAGTTAGTTAGTTAGTTAGTTAGTTAGTTAGTTAGTTAGTTAGTTAGTTAGTAGTTAGTTAGTTAGTTAGTTAGTTAGTTAGTAGTTAGTTAGTTAGTTAGTTAGTTAGTTAGTTAGTTAGTTAGTTAGTTAGTTAGTTAGTTAGTTAGTTAGTTAGTTAGTTAGTTAGTTAGTTAGTTAGTTAGTTAGTTAGTTAGTTAGTTAGTTAGTTAGTTAGTAGTTAGTTAGTTAGTTAGTTAGTTAGTTAGTTAGTAGTTAGTAGTTAGTTAGTTAGTAGTTAGTTAGTTAGTTAGTTAGTTAGTTAGGTTAGTTAGTTAGTTAGTTAGTTGTTAGTTAGTTAGTTAGTTAGTTAGTTAGTTAGTTAGTTAGTTAGTTAGTTAGTTAGTTAGTTAGTTAGTTAGTTAGTAGTTAGTAGTTAGTTAGTTAGTTAGTTAGTTAGTTAGTTAGTTAGTTAGTTAGTAGTAGTTAGTTAGTAGTTAGTTAGTTAGTTAGTTAGTAGTTAGTTAGTTAGTTAGTTAGTTAGTTAGTTAGTTCATTCGTTCATTCGTTTCATTCGTTCGTTCGTTCGTTCGCCACCTTTTTATGATGAAAAGCGAATAGAAAACTTTTCTTATAATTTTCTGTTTACTTACAACAAACTAAAATAATAATATACAAAAATAGTCAATCTAAGATATAATTGCCAATATCTTTCTAACATCCCTTCTAAAATCGATGTAAATTATTAAACCCACACAAAAAACAACGCCGCTAGTAAAAAGAAAAAAATAACATTAACAATATCGAAACGATTACATGACAATGAACGTAAATCCAAATTAAGTATTAAAGATTTTTTTAGATTTATTTTATGATTTTAATATTTTTGGGGGTAGCAGCATATTAAAGGAATCAAATTGAACTTTGATAAAAAAAAAGTTCATATTTAATCAATGAATTCCTTAATTTCTCTTAAAAAATTGAGTTTTTGAAGATATTATGTATTAGACGCATTATAGCGTCATTACGAATATATAAAGCAACTATTCAACAGCAATATTTTAAATTACAACAGCAAAATAACATCTGTTTCTTACAATTATAGTAACCGTTTCCTTTAATTTCGCCATTAAATGAATTCATTACTTGAAACACTGTAATTATGTTAAGAAATCTCTAAATTTAGTTTTTCGGTTTTTAAAAATGCAGCATAAATGAAAAGGAAAAAAATGAAAGTATTACGTAGCACATACACAAGCACACGTGCAACAGCAGCAGCGGCTGCAACAGCAACAACAACATTAAAAACTAACAACACTATTTAATTTTATAAAGTAGAGCAGCCAAAAAAGAAAAAAAAACTTGATAATTCCATTGTTGCATTCATAATTCCAACTAAGAGGAAAATAATGAACGTTCCGCCACTAACAGCACACAAGAAAAAGTTGCAACAACAATAATTGGGAGAAAAAAAACAGCAACCACTTACAAGGAGTAGATACAACAACATACTCTAGTATTAAACAACAACATACAATTGTTATAAATTTAATCGTTGTTAATAAATACTAAACCACTAACCAAAACTACAACCAGCAACAACAATAAACCAAACTTACAACCAGCTGAAAACTCTCTAATGTTGCAGAAACAGTTTTTATTGTAGTTTAAATGCTTAAACAGGGATTTACAACTTTTCTTTTCAAAACTGCCTATTTACTCACTCTACTCCAGCTTTGTTAGAGGCGCAACTTAAACCAAATGAAAATCATTTATTTACTTTTCATATTTCTATTGTGTGAGGAGGCATGCAACCAAAAACGAGCCTTTGTAATAAAAAAAAATGTTTAAGGCATGGAACTTCGTTCGTTGTAATACTAGTACTAGTATGAGAACATACATTTCATCGTGGTCATACAAATCTATGCCGGCAGGCATTCAGGAAACGTGCGTGCTTGCGACAAAGTATCAGACGATAGAAGGAATACAGGGGCATAAGGAGTAAAAGTATATAGAAAAAAGTTTTACCCTTTTGCCGAATGTTACAACAAAAAAACCAAATACATGCAACTTACAAAACGCCAACGCTATAAAATCATTTTTATTGTTACTTTCTCTCTTGTTGTTGTTGTTGTTGTTCTTGTAATATATTCACGTACAACACAATTCTATAGATGTGATTTAGTATTGTTGTTTTTCTTGTTGTTGCTGTTATTGTGACTGCCACAATGAAACTCTTGAGAATACCCAATGTGACAACGTGCTTCTCTAATGTTTTAAATTTGTTGTTGTTTTTTTTTTGCCACATTTGTTCTTTTTTATGAAAAAACACTCAACTCTTGGTGGGCTCGCTCGTTTTGGTCTCTTCGTAAATAAAGAATGTTTTTCACCTGCGCATGTCCCGAAATTTGTTTATACGCATTGTGTGACCATTAAGAGAAATTGGCAGAAATTATTTAAATGTCGCAAGTGATTGCCAACTTCTGCGATATTGGAAGATCAAAGGAATAGATTTGGTAGAACATAAAAGGATCGTTGCAATATGTAAGACAAATATCCCTCACAGTTTGAGATCCGATATGCCGGAGTTTCAATGACTCTGCGATCATATGATTTAAGTTGAATTTAAAGACTTACAACTTTTAGAACGAAAGAAATTATAGATGGATATACAATGATTTAGATTGAAAGCCTTTTTTCAATACCCACATACAGAAATATGTGTCAATAGTTCAAAATCAATAGAATGAATGGTTCATATACTTGTCCATAGACTGGCCCATAGATGAGTCCATGGACTAATAAGCAATCTAATCTAAAGCCTAATTAGTGGACTTACCTAGTGTCTAGAACTAATGGATAGAGTAGTCGATAGTATAACCAATAAACTATCCCTTTGGCTAGTCCATAGTTCAAAGTCAATAGAATGAATGGTTCATAGACTGGCCCACATATAAGTCCATGGACTAGTAAGCAATCTAATCTAAAGCCTAGTTAGTGGACTAATTCATAGACTTACCTAGAGTCTACAACTAATAATCTAACCCTTTGGCTAGTCCATAGACTGGTCCATAGTATAATAAATAGACTAGTCTACTGACAAGTCAATAGTAGTTCATAGAGTGGTAGAGAGAGAGACTACTTCAAAGACTAAGCAATGGCTAATAGTTAGACTATTGAAAAATTAAAAACTACTTTAGTACTTTTAATCCATAAAAAGTATTCTTTTATGAATGAGTTTATACTGTTTCCCGATTTTGTTTCTTATTTAAGCAAGATACAATAATTTCAAGCTATTGGGCTTGTAACTGCTGGAACTATGGGTCCCCTACGTATGTATAAATATAAATAAATTTACTGGTTAAAATTGATCTTGATTTGGCATAAGATCCACATTAGATACTTAAATCACAGATAAAGACAGATAACATTGCCAATGATCCAATCTTAACCAATGAAAAGTCAACATCGTACCGATATTTTGGAACCCACTCTATTTGTTTTTAGTTTTTGTAACATTCACCTTTGTTATATTTAAGTTAAGCGATATCTGAAATCTATTTTACTGAACATCCAGTTACCTTCGGGATCCAATATTTGTAATAATTCTATCAGACATACTTTCGAGAAGTTTTCTATTGAAAATCAGCTAAATTGGTTTATAAATAACAGAGATATATTTCGGATACTGTTTACGATATGAACTAGGTCTTGGAAAAGTATTGTATGTTCGTAATATTTCCGAAATTATAATAAAATATGTGGGATTTTGCGCGCATCTTAATTTTTTTTTTAAGTAATTTTGAACTGGTAGGAAATATAATAAAAAATGAAGTCCTTACCAACCTATTGCCTTGCAGTTAAAATTCTTAATAGATCCAAGTGTATATTAATATTCTCGATATTTAAAAATTGAATTTCTTGCTTGAAGAATACCGTAAAACTATTAAGATATTAGAAAATTTGGAATATACTAAAGGGAAAACATTTAATTTCCCGTGTTTACTTAGATTGCCTTGTTTCGGAGTCCAAGGTCTGTGGTGCAGCCATCTGTTAACGGTGTTCTGATCTTAGGGGTCTCATAAATGTTCAATACCTGTATATTCTTCATAAATTGTCTGTTAACTTTTTGGAACGATAATATCAGGATTTTTTTCCTTGAGTCTTGATCCATACATTTTGAGCTTAAAAGTCGACTTTCTAGATCAAATATCGATATAGAATCCTCTCATGAACAATATGCTGTTTTCATATGTACATAAGGTGAAATGTATGTATGTAGAAAACATCGGAGAGTTCATTCTCCGACCATTCCTACTCTAGGTCGATAGATTTTTTCGACGATTCAAAACAACTAGTATTGCAAAATCTTTTAGAAACTAAAATACAAATCGATCGGAATAATAACAAAGAGTTGAAACCATTCTAATCGGAATAAGTGACAAGTTTTGTATATCTAGAGCCCAAAACTTACTTTTTTAATGATATAAATATAAAGATATTGTACCTCAAGTTTTAACTAAATATCATTTTAAAATTTTTTTATCAAACAAAGATTCCTCTTAAAAATATTGAACCCCTCCTCACATTAAATTCAAACGCCACCCTTGATACATTCCCACAAATGCCAGCAGCACATTGAAAAAGTGTTTTTCTCTTTTAGTTTATTTTCCAAAAAACCAAAAAAATCACCTGTTAACCCAAAAGGATTTCAAAGACACCGACACCAATACCCTCCCGCCTTTTTAACCCCTAACAACTGAAACTTAAGAGAACACAACAGGGCAGCTGATTATACTCTTTTTCTACGCAAAATTCTGAAAAAAGAGTACAAACTCGTAAAGTGAAATTAAGAACGAACAAAAATGTCAAGTGTACAAAAATATAAAGGAAAAAAAAACGAAATTTAGCAGATGGAAATGTACGGAAAGTTTTTGTACTGAAACGAAAAACAGAGCAAGAACAGCAGTTTTTTATAGACATTTTACGGTTACGGATGTGTTTGGAATGTGTTGCGGAAAAAACTAGAACAGTGAAAAAAAATTTATGAAAAAAAGGAAAAACCCAAATCTAAATAAGTAGAAAAAAAAGAGTGCAAAGCAATTTGGTCTTTTAAAAAATGCTTAAAAAGGCCTCTTGCAAGTGAAGAAAGTAAATAAAAAATTGAAAAGAAATATAATAAATTATAAATTAAACATATAGAAAAGTGTAAGAAAAATATGATAAAAAAAGTAAAAATTTCTATAGATATAGATAGAAAATCCACGACCAAACCCTAAACCTACAAACAACAACATCATCATCATTATTTCCATCTTCATCTCCAACATCAAGCACAATTTAATGGGATACGGAAATTCAAAGTTTGTGAGAAAACAAATTTGCAAAAACATCCCATAAATTTGTATATATTAAGATATAAAAAAAAATCAACGGTAATTTAATAAATTGATATGAAAATTTGTATAAAAAATTAAAAAAAAAATAAATTTTTTAAAAAGTTTAAATTTATTAAAAATATATATTTTATTTAAAAACTGTGTGTGTGTGTTTTTTTCTCTTGAGTGTTGTAGTTTTAAAACAACAACAACAACAGCCACATTTATATTATCATATTTTAAATCTCTTGCCAATTTCTTTCATTATATTTTATTTTAAATTTTTCAATTTTTGTTTAATACGAGCAAAATATCATGGGTGACGCGCAAATGTTAAACATTTTGAAAGCACGTCGCCCTTTTCATTTGAATACAAACAAATATGTAAATACATATGTATATGTACATATATGTATGTATAAAAGAAATAAAATATAATAAAAATATTTTCATTTCAAACTAAATGATGAGAAATCAAATAAAAAAATAATATAAAATTAAATCATAAACTAAAGAAAAAACCATGTGCAACTTTGTAAAAAGTATATTATGTGCACCCTACAGTGGCAGTATTAAACCTGTTTTGTAGGTTGCTCTATAATTGTTATAGTCTTTCAAAACATATTCAAAATTAAAATTAAGGAAATTAAAAGAGAAAAACTAGAGTATAGTTATAGTTGCTAACGTATGGCCTTGCAGTTGAAAGCTTTAATAGATCCATATATATATTAATAGTCTCGGTATTCGTCGAATTCCTTGCGTGGTCAATGAAGTAAAACTGCTAATATATTGAAAAATCTGAAAGATACTAAAAGGAAAACATTGCCACTATTTTACTTCGAGTGTAAACTAAGATTGTCCCGTTTCGAAGACAAACTTTTAACGGTGTTCCGATCTTAAGGGTCCTACCAATGTTCAGTAGATGTAAATTCTTAAAAAACTTGTTTTATTATATACGAAATAGTCTTAAATCACGGTTTTTGACCCTAAAAGACAACTCTCTAGATCATTTATCGACAAAGAAACCTCTCACGAACAATATATACATAAGGTGAAACATACATAAAAATCAAAGAAAACAAATCGGAGAGTTTATATTCCTGCTCGATTCGAAATAATTCGCATTGCAAAATTTCTGAGAAACTAAAATAAAATCGATCGAAATAATAACACGGAATGGAAGCCATTTCGATCGGAACGAACGATAAGTCTGTATATCTAGAGACCAAAACTTACTTTCTTAGGATTATATTGTATTTATTGTGTAGAACTTTCAAGTTAGGAAGTTAAAGTCACCCTGGGTATATAGTTCACCATAATGTGTTTTTATACCCTTCACCTTCGTGAGAGGGGTATAAGATATATAAGTTTGTCATTCCGTTTATAATTTCTACAATATAATTATTCGATCCTACAAAGTATTCTGGATCTTAATAGATTGCGGATTCGATTAAGCCATGTCCGTCTGCCTATCCGTCTGTGTGTCTGTTAAAATCAATTTTCGATATCTTTTCAGATATCTTCGGGATCCATATCTACAATTATTCTATTAGACCTGCTTTCGGGAAGTTTGCTATTTAAAATCAACAAAACCCATAAATAATAAAGATATCAGCAAAAATCCAAGACAACCTCTGAAAATTTCATGGATTTTTTTGAATTCAGTTGTCCTGATTGTATGGGAGCTGGGTGAAATATTGGAATGATTTTAACTATTGACTTAGTCCTTGGGCCAAATATAATATTTGTACCTTGATATACGGACGGAAGAACTCATAAGATTAGATTTTTTTTTAATTTTTGGAATCACGATTTTATATATCTAAAGCTTAATCACACCTGTTAAATATTTGTTAACAATTATGCGTTATTTTGATTTCCTTTAAGATATAATGATGATGACATAAATATGCAGGTACTTATTTAGTGTTAAAGTTCATAGCAGTTCGGTCGGACTGTCCCGAATAGGATTACCCCTAGCCGCCGATTGTCCAGATGACTAGCTATTTTAACATGCACTTTTCTACACGGGAGTCAATCGTCACCCCATAGATTACGAAGAGACAGACAAAGATCTTAAGTTTGTTTTTAAGTGTCCCCTCACTCGCTTACAAAGGGGACACTAAACTGACGATTATCTTCACCCTAGTTTACAAAGAGTACATCAGTGACGAAACACGAATTAGAGTCGTTAGACGTTAGTGGAAATCATTGTCTTTTTCACATGCATTGAGTCTTTGTCGAACTGCTTGTTTATCACTTCAATATCGGTGGTTAGATTAGATTGAAAGGTCACAAAGCAGTACCCAAAATCATAGCTCTTCGGAACCCTTATAATGGGCAGTTACATAGAATATTTTATTAGGTTTTTTCTTGTAAGCCACAGAATCTGCTTAGATTCATTATAGAGTTGCCTAGAGTATCTAAGACCACAATGTCCAGTAAGTAATCCCATTAGTATTCTGAGTACGCCTTTATTGAACGCTAGTAGGTTTATTTGTCTGGGCCCTATGATTGTGATATATGTTTGTTGTACAACAAGTAAGGTCGTCACTTTGTAAATACACTTTTGGGTTTATAGTCAAATATTTGGTAGATGTGAACTAAACATTAGTATGATTTGACTACGTCATTGAAGTTATTAATCAGTTTTAACCATTTTCCGTTATTTCCCTTTATTGAAAAAAAGTAACTTTAAAAGATTAACTGATAGCAGAAATCACGTTACAACCATTTCTTTAAACCCATATATACCCAAATAATTATTATAATACCCTGTCACAACTACAAATTATATAGAGAACGTGCCAAAAAAAATTTACTCAAACAAATAAATCTGCAATAAATTTTATTTTTATAAAGAAAATCTATTAAGAACAAAATTTTTGTGTTGAAGTGTTTAAACAAATATTTAAAACTACAAATATGAGTGTCATGGCTAAAATATAAAAGAGAAAAAAAAAACGGAAAGAAGGAAAGAAAACGACAACCAATCTGTGTAGTATATTTGTGCAACGTCATAAACATGTTGCAAAATGTTTTTAAGATGATTGTGGCAAACTTATGTGTTTAGAAAAAAAACACAAAGTTCTTTAACACATAAATGGACCCTTGAATTGAGGATGTTGCATGAAATACAAACACAAAATATAGTAAATACTACTACTACGACGATATGTGATTATTTATTTACAGAGAAATAAAATAAACATTGTGTTTCCTTGTAGGAAACTTAATATGAATGATTTAAATAAAATTTGTTTTTTTTTAGAGGAAAACTAGATTATATATTTATACAACTTTTGGCATTTTTTATTAAAAATTGTATTTTAATACGAACTAAGGGCCGGCCAACTAAGGTCTGATTATATACTTATCTCACACTATGATAAAAATTTACTTAAGTTTACAAAATCTTACTTGAATCCAATAACTAAACGTTTATTTTATCTAGATCTCAATAAAACTTCAATTAAAAATATTCTAAAACCTTTCTTAATTTAATATGCTTCTAAAAATTTTACAATTTAAAAAAAAAGTTGTAAAATTCATTTTTATTTCACTTCAACTTTGTCACTTTATTTTCCAAGTGAAAAATATTTAATATGTAAAACTATATAAACCCCTCATGTTTGTCAATAGATTTAGCTTAGAACTCAAGTAAATAAATGTGTATGTATAGTAGTAGTAGTAGTATGAACAGAATAGTGGATACTTGAAACAATTTTAATATATAAAAGTAGTTTAATTTTGAGTTTGTGTTGTTTGTAAGGATTTAAAGTACAATTATTGCTTTATGCTCAGCCAAAAAAAAAAGTACTAGGATTCTATACAAATAATATAAATGTTTACAAAAAAAAAAAAGAAAAACATTAAAACACACATCACTTACAGACATTTTTATAATATTCTGCAATATTTCTATAAGCGTAGACAGTCATACATACTTACAATCATACGTGTATCCTATGCACATATATATGTAACTATACTAATATACTTTCTACTTAAAACGAGGCCAGAATAGAAAGTCCAATTAAACTTATGAAGTGTTAATCGAGTGATTATTAGTCTCAAACGCCCAACGGGATCGAAAATGTATTTTTTCGAATTTGTTGTCTTTTACATCCATCCCTCAACCGAACCAAATCCAAATATTGCTGTTGTTGTTGACAAAATTCTCCAACGGCTTGTTTATCATACAGTATTATCTTCTGATAGCAAACACTAGTCCATAGTCTAGTCCATAGTCTAGTCATAGTCTAGTCTATAGTCTAGTCTATAGTCTAGTCTATAGTCTAGTCTATAGTCTAGTCTATAGTCTAGTCTATAGTCTAGTCTATAGTCTAGTCTATAGTCTAGTCTATCGTCTAGTCTATAGTCTAGTCTATAGTCTAGTCTATAGTCTAGTCCTATAGTCTAGTCTATAGTCTAGTCTATAGTCTAGTCTATAGTCTAGTCTATAGTCTAGTCTATAGTCTAGTCTATAGTCTAGTCTATAGTCTAGTCTATAGTCTAGTCTATAGTAGTCTATAGTCTAGTCTATAGTCTAGTCTATAGTCTAGTCTATAGTCTAGTCTATAGTCTAGTCTATAGTCTAGTCTATAGTCTAGTCTAGTCTAGTCTATAGTCTAGTCTATAGTCTAGTCTATAGTCTAGTCTATGTCTAGTCTATAGTCTAGTCTATAGTCAGTATAGTCTAGTCTATAGTCTAGTCTATAGTCTAGTCTATAGTCTAGTCTATAGTTAGTCTAGTCTAGTCTATAGGTCTAGTCTATAGTCTAGTCTATAGTCCTAGTCTAGTCTATAGTCTAGTCTATAGTCTAGTCTATAGTCTAGTCTATAGTCTAGTCTATAGTCTAGTCTATAGTCTAGTCTATAGTCTAGTCTATAGTCTAGTCTATAGTCTGTCTATAGTCTAGTCTATAGTCTAGTCTATAGTCTAGTCTATAGTCTAGTCTATAGTCTAGTCTATAGTCTAGTCTATAGTCTAGTCTATAGTCTAGTCTATAGTCTAGTCTATAGTCTAGTCTATAGTCTAGTCTATAGTCTAGTCT